TCCAGGGGAAACACCGTGGTGTAGCGCGTGTAATCGTCAACGAGCACAAGGAAGTAGCGCTCACCTCGCGGTCCGGGGACGGGGGCAGGGCCCCAAACGTCCAGGTGCAGGGTCTGAAGGGGGGCAGTAGCAGGGTGTAGCGAGGAGGAGTGAGGAGAACGGCGGAGCCGGCCCTCGATGCAAGGCGTGCACGGTGGCGCAGTCGAGGGAGGAAGGGCAGGGAGCGATGCAAGGAGACCTAAGACATGACCGTACTGGGACATGTGACGCAGACGTGGGAGTGCATGGTGACCTAGGCGGTGGTGCCAGAGAAGGGACGAGTGAGTGAGGGACCGATACGAGCAAGCTGCAGCGACCTGGGAGGACGCACCAACCGGGGGGGAAGCGGTGTCTAGGGTGAACAGACCGGATACCGTGTCCCGGGGGAACGTCGCAAGGGGGGAACATGAGACAGCCTCAGAACAGACAGCGAACGGCTCGTGCCCGGGGAACGTGGTGGTGACGCCGAGGTCCTGGAGACAGCCGACACCAACCAAGTTCCTCGAGAACGAGGGAATGTGGAGACCTGTAAGGGAGCCTGAGGGAACTGCTGGACAGGGAAGGGACGTAGAACTGCGAGCGACGACAGGACCCGCAGAGGGGTCAGCGAGAGAGACAACAGCAGGCGTAGCAAGCGGCGTGAGCGCGGAACGGTCGCGGAAGAAGCAGGTAGAGGCACCGGAGTCGAGAGTGAAGGACAGCGAAGCATCGGCAGAGGCCGGGAACGGAGCCGGTGTAGAGACTAGGCTAGGCAAACGAGGCAGTCTTACGCCTGACGCAGCAAGGGAGGCTAAGCTACACAATGGTGCAACACCTAAACTAGAGTACACAGGGTAATAAGATCTAGCAACACTAGAAGCGTCAGAATACAAGGCATGCAAAGCAGCACCTATCTGATCCATGTCTCACTCAAAGATCGGCACGCCCTAGCGGAGCAGGCTGTGCTAGTCGGGGAGGTCCGGGGCAAGGCCAAAGCGACGACGAAAGAGATCGTCGAGGCGGTGGAAACAGCGGGCGGTGGGGTGCGGGCGGCGGCACAGAGTGCCGCGAAGAGGCCCGGTCTGAAGCTGGTAATGGCAAGTGACAGCACCGAAGCCGCCGGTAGACGCCGAGCTGCGCGGGCCGCCACCACGGCCACTACCTCCGGAGGTGCCGGGCCAACCAGGTGGGAGACGGGCCCACGGCTGCGGCGACTGCTGCTGGGATGGCGGGTGCTGCTGGGACGGCGGCTGCTGCTGGGGCTGCTCTTGCTGCGGCTGGGGCTGCTGCTCCTGCCCACCGGTGGTAGTCCCTTCAGGCGGACTACCGTCACGACGACGACCACCACCACCACCTGCTCCACCACCCTTACCTCCCTGACGACCACAGCCACCGCGGCGCGAGCGCTGCTGCGGGTGGACCGCAGCAGCCGTCTCGGTGAGAGGGGTCGCCGTGGCGACCGCAACCGAAACGTCAGTGAACATGCACTGGGAGGGGGCACAGCCGTGAAAGATAGAGACTGCCGGCGCACCGCTCGACTGAGCGATAGTGCGCTGGCGAGTCTCGATCTCGGTGAGGGTATTGACAAAGGCAGTGAGGGTGAGGTCACCCGGGTGCTGGCTAAGGAAGTGATCGCGAGCACTAGCGAGGCGGTCTGGCAGGCGCATGGCGATAAAATAGAGCATCATGCAGAAAGGGGGGGGGAGCGCAGTAAGCTGGGCAGCAGTGCTGGCAATGCGATAGCGGGTCTCTAGGGCACGCAGGTGAGTGGCAAAGTCTGCGACGGTAGGGAAGGCAGCAAGGTCTGGGAAAAGCATCGGGAAGAGCAAGCGGCCAGCAGAAGCAGACGCGGGTGTGGAATAGCGAGCAATAACGACGTCTAAGTAAGCTTTGGCCGTCTCAACAGTAGCAAAACGCGAGCGCTCAGACACAGGGAGGGCGTGGCTAATGGCAACCTGAGCGACTGCATCGCGGGAGTCCCAGACCGCATAGGCAAGCGCAGCAGTAGAGAAGGTCTCACGGTCATCAGAGGAGGGGTCAGCAGGGAGCGGAGCAGGTGCGGGGGGGCGGGGGAGCAAGCCATCGACATGGACAACCAAGGAGTGGCCATCCTGGCGCTGACCTGTAAGGTGGCGGCGGAGATCGGAGAGCCAGGCGGCGAAGTCAACCGCATGGCCCTCGACGTCCAGTCGGAGCATGAAGTCAGCCATCGTGCAGGGTCAGCGGCACAGCTCCACAGCTCCACAGCTCCGCAGGAACACAGCGACGCAGAGACACGGCGGCGACACTCTCCACCACGGCGGCCGCAAGACGCCCCAGCGCTGGCGAGCAGAGTAGACAGAGCCCGAGGTGGCACGGCAGGCCGAGCAGGCACGAAGAGGGGCCGAGCGAGCAGTGGGAGAGGCCAGGCAGACGCGGCGGGGCCAGGCAGGCGCGGCAGGGCCAGGCAGGCGCGGCGGGGCCAGGCAGGCGCGGCTGGGCCAGGCAGGCGCGGCTGGGCCAGGCAGGCACGGCGGGGCCAGGCAGGCGCGGCGGGGCCAGGCAGGCGCGGCGGGGATAGGCAGGCGCGGCGGGACCAGGGAGGCGCGGCGAGGCCAGGCAGGCGCGGCAGGGCCAGGCAGGCGAGGCGGGGCCTGGAAGGCGCGGCGGGGCCAGGCAGGCGCGGCGGGGCCATGGAGGCGCGGCGGGGCCAGGGAGGCGCGGCGGGGCCAGGTAGGTGCGGCGGGGCCAGGCAGGCGCGGCGGGGCCAGGCAGGTGCGGCGAGGCCAGGCAGGCGCGGCAGGGCCGGGCAGGCGAGGCGGGGCCAGGGAGGCGTGGCGGGGCCAGGCAGGTGCGAAGGAGCCAGGCAGGCACGACGGGGCCAGGCAGGCCGCGACGGAGCCAGGCGGGCGCGGCGGGGCCAGGCAGGGCGCGACGGGGCCCAGGAGGGGCGTGACGAGGCGAGGAGGCGAGACGGGGTCCAGGAGGGGCGAGACGGGGCCCAGGAGGTGCGCGACGGGGCTAGGAGGCGCGACGGGGCCCAGGGGGGGGTGCGACGGGGCTACGGGGCCCACGAGGGGCGCGACAGGGCTAGGAGGCGCGACGGGGCCCAGGAGGGGCGCGACGGGGCCCAGGAGAGGCGCGACGGGGCTAGGAGGCACGGCAGGGCCCAGGAGGGGCGCGACGGGGCTAGGAGGCGCGACGGGGCCCAGGAGGGGCGCGACGGGGCTAGGAGGCACGACGGGGCTAGGAGGCGCGACGGGGCCCAAGGGGAAGCGGCGGGGCCTAGCTAGGGTACGGGCGGAAGCGGTAGGTGGGGGATTCTAACCTACGCGTGATACCTACCATGTCAAAGTAAGAACTGAATGATAAACTAGAAGTAGAAACCTATAACAAATACTAGTTGGTTGTACTCACTAGAAGCATACCCTAGTCTAGCTTATAGCTTGTACACAGCTAATTGTTAAAGTAGCTCTAGGCTAGGATACTAGGCAGGAACAAGGCCGCCATGAATGTGGCGGCGGGGTTTAGCTAGGAGCTGGACGAGAGTGTCGAGAGAGAAGAGTGTTAGATTAGGAAGAGAGAGGAGTACAAGGAGGGGTTTGTACCCCCTACAGAAAGGTTCAGTAACAACCTACCAAGCCTATATTAAATTATAACTTATATAATTTGAACACACCCCCTAGGCTTGGTAGTGTCAAGCCCACTCACACCCCCACACCCACACCCACACCCACACCCCCTAGCCCAGCACCCCCATTCCCAGCAAGAGACACAACAACTCCAGAAGCGGGCAGCTCCCACGGCCCGTGGGATGGCTATGGCGGCAGCAGCGACATTGACGACAGCGGCGCCGGTGGCGGCGTGCGGCGGCGCCCGGCCCGCGGCAACAGCAACGGCAACGGCGGCTTGGACGTCAGCGGCTGGTGCAGCGGCCCCCGCCCTCTCGGCGGCATGTCCAGTCACCTCGACAGTGGGGAGGGCCCGCATGAGGCAGTCGTTGGCTGCAGCAAGGAAGGGGGGGGAAGCAGGGGAAGGAGGGGGGAGGGGGGGGGGGGGGGGGGGGAGAGGGGCGCGGGGCGTAGTCCAGAATCACGCCGGCGGCTGCAGAGCGGGCGGCAGGTCCGGCGGCACCATTGACGATGCGCGGCCGGCTGTCGCCCGATGACGCCGCCACGGCAGCCAAAAGACGCCGCCACAACGAGACGTCGATGCCGCGGCGGCAAGGCGGAGGTGCGACTGTAGCTCGACTAAGCCGCCGTGGCATCTCAGAGAAGTCGCCACGGCGGCACGGAAAGGCAAGGCCGCCACGGCGGCAGGAAAACGAAGGGCCGCCATCAGCGGCACGGTACGAAGTGAAACGTAAGACAAGGACGAGGCGGAAGCGTGGAAGGCAGGACCGGAAACGGCCTGCTCTGATATCATGTTAAAGTAGCTCTAGGCTAGGATACTAGGCAGGAACAAGGCCGCCATGAATGTGGCGACGGGGTTTAGCTAGGAGCTGGACGAGAGTGTCGAGAGAGAAGAGTGTTGGATTAGGAAGAGAGAGGAGTACGAGGGGTTTGTACCCCCTACAGAAAGGTTCAGTAACAACCTACCAAGCCTATATTAAATTATAACTTATATAATTTGAACACTAATATGTATAAGTTGACAGAATGGACTCAAAGGGTCGCACCCGGAGGTTGCGACTGACCGTTACGACTGCAAGAGTGGTAACCGAACTGACGATCGAGTCGCTGTGCGACTCGATAACTATTTCTTCGACTGTATTCTACAACTGCTCTATTTTCTATTTCTCTATATATTGCCGTATGCTTGTTTCTTTTAATCAATCACTTGCTCTCAGTGCAAGGGTTCAATTACTCAACTTCCGCTGCACTACTCGAGTATGTTGTACAACTGGGACTTAGTCTCTGGAAAGATCCCAAGGGCTTTTCTCAGCCCAACAACATGAATAGAAAGATTGAAAAATCAGTTTTTTTTTTTTTTGAAGTAATTCTGATGGCTCATGATTTTTTTTAGGGGACCCTGAAAATTCAGACTTCTCTGCAGGGAAAATCCTGATGGATCAGGAAGCCTCAAAACCAATCTAGGGCCCTCGTACCGACCCTGACGGAAAGGTTTTTTTTTTTTGGGTAGAGCCTGATCAATCAGTGTGTTCCAGAACCAATCTGGGGGCCTGTGCGACAGTTACTTTCTTCCCCTTCACCACCTAACTAGATGCTACACTAGGTTTCTTCCCCTTCCCTTTTCGCCGCAGCTCAGCTTCGCCCCCCAGCGAAAGGTACTTCCACCATAGCTTGGCACAATCCGTCCTCCTCTCCCCACACACCGACTTCACCTCCTCCCCCTCCCTCCTCTCCCTCTTCCCTCTCCACGGCTTAAACTTCCCGTTAAAATGCAAGATCTTGGCTGCATCCGCCCAGAAGCTCACAAACGGCCGCTTCGGTGGCCGCCCGAGCCCGATTGTGGCTAGGTAATCCCGTTCCTTCTCGCCAAACCTGTCCCTTCCCAAGCCTCGGGTGTTCCAGATACGGTCCAGCTTCTTATAACGGTCGTAAATCGTTAACAGGAATGGCGGCTGCGACATGCCGAATTTATAAAGGGGATTGGGTGCGCGGCTGAATTCCCCCATCCACCACTCTATCGCGCCAGAGATGTTACTTTGTAACCAGCGCTGCACGTCCATGAGTAACACGCCGCGATTGAAGACACAGGTGGTCTTGTCGAACGGCTCAGAGGGCATCCATGGCTTGGAGGGGTCGTTGCGAGCCTGGAGGGGGGAAGCAGGGGCAGGAATGAGGAAGTGAGCAGGGCGGGGAAGCGAGCAGGGTGGGGAGGCGAGTATTCATATGAGTGTCAGCCAGAATACCTATCACACCTGAATGCTCGCCTGAATGTTCACCCGAGCCTTCACCTGAGCATTCACCTGAACGTCACCTGAGCATTCACCTGAACGTCACCTGAATCTCGGCGGGCTGGTCGAAGTCGAAGTAGGTCTTGAACGTCTGCATGCAGTCCTCCATTGGACTGCCGTTACTAATATCCACACGCCTCAATCACCGCTACACCAGAACTGCGGCCTCACCTGGATTTCCGCTCGTTGGTCAAAGTTGAAGTAGGTCTTGAATGTCTGCATGCAGTCTTCCACTGGACTGCCGCCACTAATTTCTACACAGCTACACCAGGTATGCTCAAGCCTCACCTGAATCTCGGCTAGCTGGTCGAAGTCAAAGTAGGACTTGAACGTCTGCATGCAGTCCTCCACCGCCGCCACTGGCTCAGCAGGCCTTCCCCTTACATACCTGAACTTTCACCTTCCTATTCACCTGAATTTCAGCAAGCTGGTCGAAGTCGAAGTAGGTCTTGAAAGTCTGCATGCAGTCCTCCACTGCCGCCACTGGCCGCCCCTCCATGTCCACATCAGCAAGCTCGCCTATGTCGCCCTGAGGGAGGATTGAGTGGGGAGGGGGAGGAGATCCAACATGTATATTCGTGTGCTGCTATCAGATCCCACATGTATATTCGTGTGCTGCCATCAGATCCCTTGGCTTGTGAATGAAGCGTCCAAGGAGCCCATTGTCCCTTAGAACGCTTCCCGCCTTCACCTTTCCGGCCCAACTCCAAGCCCAGCCAAACGCCCCTCTCCCCACCCCACCCGTCTTCCCAACTCCAATCCACCCACCCTCTTTCCCTCCCCCTCCCACCCCCCCGCCCCTCCCAACCACTCACCACCACAACAATGTCCGCACAGGTGCACAATTCTCCCCAACTACGGCGCCATCTGGGGGAGGTAGAGCGTTTCTCGCCTTCCGCTTTCCCATCCCTTTCCAACCCCAACTCACCCACCCTTCCCCATAAAAAAGCCCACCCCTCCCCCCCACCTCTTCTCCCCCACCACCCCTTTCCACCACTCACCACCACGACAATATCCGCGTCCAAGTACACAATCCTTCCGAACTGCGGCGCCATCTGGGGGAGGTAGAACGGCAGGAAGTTGAAGACCGACACCAACTCCTTGCGCGCCCCGCTGCCCTCCTTGTATGTGATAAGCGCGCCAAGCCTCTCCCCCCACCCCATCTCCATTCCAGAAGCACCGGCAGCACCGGCAGCAGTACCACCATTAGCAGCAGCAGCAGGAGGGGCAGCAGCAGCAGCCGCGGAAGCACCGCTGGCGAGAGAGGGGCTGATGCTGCAGGGAGGGGGAGAAAAGGGAGAGACAGAAAGAGGAAGGGAAGGAAAAGGGGGGGGTGGGGGGGGAGGGGGGGGCGGATGGGGCGGAAGGAAGGGGGAAGTTGACGACCGAGACCTGCTCCTTGCGCGCCCCGCTGCCCGCCTTCCGTTCTTTTCGGGAACCACCAGGTGAAAGCCCACCCGCCACGGCTGGGAGGTGGCACAGAATGTAATGGTGAAGGGCCAGAACCTTACCTGACGATGTCAATCCGAGTCGAAGGGAACAGCGGCAGCAGCTTCTTGCGCATGGCGGCGACGTTCTTCTCGGAAACCACCTACTAGGTGGAGGTCCACGCGCCACGGCTCGCGCGCGTTCACGAGCGCCGAGCTGATTACCACGGCGATCATTTTCCCAGCAACGGTACTTTACATGACAAGGGCCTTACCGGACGAGTATGGATGGGCGCTGAGGGGCGTTGAGGGGAACAGAGGCCGCAGCCTACCTGTCGATATGAATCCGAGTCGACGGGAAGCCGCTTCTTGCGCATGGCGGCGACGTTCTTCTCGGGAACCACCAGGTGGAAGTCCGCCCAGGCACCGCCAGGGGGGAGAGGGGCATTAATACCTGACGATGTGGATCGGCGTGGAGGGGAAGAGTGGCAGCAGCTTCTTCTTCATGGCGGCGACGTTCTTCTCGGGAACCACCAGGTGAAAGTCCACGCGCCACGGCTCGCGCGCGTTCACGAGCGTCGAGTTGATCACCACGGCAATCGGACGGAGATCCGTCTCGTCCGTCGATACAAACACGTGGATGCCCTTATCCTCGTTAGTAGCAGCCCCGCTCGCTGCCTCAGCACCGCTCGCTGTCTCCTCTCCTCCTCGCACGTCCTTCACCCCATCGCCTGCTGGTGCCACGTCAACCGAAGCTGCTTTGCCCGCCACCGTGGCAGTGACGGCTGAGATTTCCCTCTCCGCATCTAGCGTCCCTGTCTCCACGCCTGCTGACGTGTCTCCACCACCACCACTAGTAGGACTGCTATCTGAACTGATGATGCTCGTCGCTTCCCCCCGCCCGATCTTTCCGCTATCATCGGAAGTAGCAGACGTCGAGTCTTTGGAGTCGTTCTCGCTTCGATGTGACCCTGTCGAAGCTACTTGTGAAGAGGATGTGACTAATTCGTTAGGGGTAGCTGCTTCCACGTCAGCGGAAACGTCGGATGCGGTCATTCTGACCTCATGACCCCCTCTACGGCCCAACCCCTCCCTCGATTCCACCACCGTTTGAATCACATTCGTCTCGTCCTCCACCCGTCGCTCGCTACTGTCACTTCTATCCACCTTGCCTGAACGTCCTTCCTTCGTACTGTCAGCAGCCTGATCGAGATCTACACGCCTTTTGGGATTCCGAGGAGAATCCAACGGTCCGGATTTCATCTCGGGAGTGGATTCTTCAAGCTCGAATCGATCGCCTCCGGAGCTTGACACGTGGATCCGAAGAACCCTCCCTTCAGACGACGATGGCGATTTAATCGTCAAGTGCCAGACCGTGAACCCTTTCGGCTGGAGCGTGATAAATAGCGACACGCCGGCGATCGCGAGGAGAAAGACGGAGATTAAAAGCCACGAGGCTCGGAACACCGTAGCGGTAGTCGAAAAGCCGAACGCGGAATATCGGCGGGAAATTGGCTCTTTTTTCAGGGATTCTAGCAGCTGGTCTAGGCTCCCCATGTCCGCGTCGGAGCCTATTCTGTGAGACGACCCCCACTTGCCGCCGCGCTGCGACGGCAAAGTCGCCATTGTTCTTCGAAGTAAATTGTTGGAGAAAAGCTAGGACGCAAATTGTTGGAGAGACGCTACTAGGAAAGGATGGCAAGAAATGACAGAACCTGACTACGATGCTTCGAGAGATAGGGAGCTCTCTTTGGATGCCCCTCCTTCAAGTGTCACGGAATCGTGTGGCTGTTCCTGCGTCTTGTCGTCCCAGCCCAAGTCTAAAACTCGGTGGCCTCACTTGCTCTAAATGCCTAACAGGTGACCTAAACTTGCCCTTTTCATGGAAGCTGTAAGCGCTCGTTTATAGCTGTCAAACTGTGCAAGGCGGAGGAATAACGACTGTCCAGATTTTGTATGTAGACATGACATGACTGGGAGCTTGCTGTGAGGGGAGGCCATCTGAAGCGTGCGTGTTTAATCATTACCGTACCCAACCACTTCTGACTCTTAATTGACCTTTCTGACGAGAAAAGCACCTCATCCAACCGTAATCAAACGAACACTTGCGACACACCCTGAAATTGCTACTTTCAAGGGCAGGTTCTGCTTCGTTCCTGCAGATTCTGTCGCAGAAATGGCCTGGCCTTGCGCTTTGTCAGAGGCACGTGGTCGGTTGCCTTGCCTGTGTGGTTCGGCCACATCATTCGCGCAGGTGGATATGGACTGTGGTGGTTCGTCGTACGCAGTCGTACGCCAATCAGACTGCTTGGATACTGTCGCGTGAGGTCCAAGCTGAGTCGCTCCACCTTGGCGGATGAAATGACAGAACAGGCTGGGTTCTGCTTTCTATGGTCGGTGAAGCGATCCGATTGGCTCGTGTGTCTGCAACGGTTAGAAGTTCTCAGAATGCCAAGGCGCAGCGTGACAATGAATCACATAAGCATGACCCCTGTAACGAATTCCTGCCAGTTCCGTAGGTGACGGGGTCATCGCAATTGGTTGAAACCCATTATCGCGTCGCACGCTCATTAGAAGCTTTCTGACGTTAACTCGATACCATTAAATGATGATAAGATGTTGTACTGAAATTCTCGACAAGAGATACTGCTGTAATAATTCAATGTTTGGTTCTGTATTCACTAGGGTGTATCGAGTGCAGCTGTGGCGAAGGATTGTTCCCAGCGGCACCGCAGGTTGCAAGCCAGTTGTCGTGCTGTCACAGCAACCTGAATGTCACGGAACCGAAAGAAGCCGTTCACAACCTCGATCATTGCAATGCCTTTCACCAACTTTGAAAATCCCCACCAAACCTAGCAGTCCCTACCAAAGCCTTCCTGTCAGCGATGTTCACCCGCCGCCGCTTGCATGGATGATGTGATGTGATGGGTGCGATGTGCGATGTGCGATGTTCGCCCCGCCACCATTCCCGAGACCCGACGTTCCTCGTGCATGCATCGAACGCGTGACGTGAGTCATTTTGCGTCGCGCGCACGGCTGTTCGCGAAACCCTGCCACCACCGTCCTTGTCGCGGGGGAAGCCTGTCAGGTTGGTGGATGCAGTGTGGCAGTGAAACCCTAGACGCGTTTCGGGTGATGCGACTGGTTCGGCGACCCCATAACTGCGATCCAGCACGAAACTATGTCCACGCGCGATGCCAGCGCAACTTCGCTCACCATGCAATTGAGAGCGGTCCGCGTGATTTCAGGGAAACCGAGGCTGGCCGTATGGTGGCGAAGAATATTCGCGAAAAGGCTGGAATGGCCCACAGCTGCCTGGATGTTGGTTTCAGTCGCCCGCGTCGCCAGGCAACGTCGCAGGGGTCACTTCACTGCTTCCCCTCCAACTCATTCTTGCTTGACACTCCTGCTCATAGTAGTATTTCAGTTCACAGAAGCGTTTCTTTTTTAATTCAGGACTGGCTGCTGCTTCTGTGAGTGAATGGATGGATGGGTTGACACCTCTTTGAGAACCTGTTTTTTCTTTCTGATGTGAGTTAGCACTGATGGATTTCTACTCAGGTGTCCGTGCTTCTTCGATGGACCCTCTCGATTTTCACCCTCCTATTCTTCGTCCGTATGGATGAGGTTATTCCTGGCAAGTCGTATGGATCTCTACCGAGTCGTGTCTTCCCCTTGGTCGGTGCATCCTGAGCTATCGTCGCTAATGATTGTTGAGGGCTACTGCCAGTGATCAGCCGAGGTTGCGACGTCAACGTCTATGGAGCTATGAGGCTGAGAACGTCAGCAGCGGCTGCGTGTGGTGCAGCTGCGAGATCTGCAATCAGCTTGTTTCGTGATTTGGGTTCGTCGTCAAGCGTGGTATAACCTTTTTCGTTCATCGTCGAGCTTGTCTCCTGAGCGTGGAGAGCGTCTTGCTGATTCTTCTCAACTGATATCGAGGGCAAGTCATTGCCGAGGGACCGTGACATCAGCCGAGTCTCCGGGATGTGCTTATTCAGCTCATCTTCGTCGTACTCCGGGATCGAGGAGTTGCTGACAGGGAAGTCTTCCTGATCGTGACATCAACCAGTTCTGGAGTGCGTCGTCCGTTAACTCTCGGACTGATTTCCAGCTTGAAGAGAACGTTGATTGAAGGTTTCTTGCCGACTAATTCGGGCCGAGCGTGGTCGTTTGGCTAACCACTTGACCAACGCAGTTCTTGTTGATGCCTGTGTTCAGCACGGTGTTATCTGTTGTATGCTTGGAAGTGAACGATACTTTTGTTTGTTTCCGTTCTCTGTTCGTCTGTTTTTAAGGCAAGGCAGAGCCGTTCTATTAAACGAAGTTTTTTACCGCAGTTCAAGCACTTCTGTGCGTTGTCTTTGTCTGTAACAGCGAAGCAGACTCCAGAAGCATAACAAGCAAGAGCGTATGAAAGTGGTGATCCATCTGCTGGTTAATTGTTTTTTTCCACTTACGCTCAGGTTGGCTGTGTACACTGCCGTCTGCACAGTTCTGCCTTTTTTCTTTTTCAATAGCTGCAGGCTACATGGATTTTGGAGTTCCAACGGAACGGAAGCGGCAGGTCGAACTACTGCGTGTTTCAGGTTAATTGACTTCCTCTCGAATGCATCTTCTGTTCCCACGGATTCGAGGGTTATCTCTCAGCTGCTTCCCAGGTTACGGAGATTTTGGAGATCGATCGGAACGGAAGCAGGTTGGATGGTTCAGGTTGACTGACTTCCCTCTCGCATGCAGCTTCTGCTTTTCCACAGAGTCGACTGGTTGTGTCTCAGCAGCTGCAGCTCTCAGGGATTGGGGGTCTCGGCCGATTGGATGCAGGCTGGATTGCTACATGGTGCACGTTGACTGTCTTCCTGTCGCATGCACCTTCTCCTCCCACGGACTCGACTGGCTGTGTTTCAGCAGCTGCAGGTCACGGGTTTCCGCTGGGATGGAAGCAGGTTGGAGTACTACATGGTTCAGGTTTTACCTGCCCTCTCGCATGCATCTTCTGCTTCCACAGAGTCGACTGGTGGTTCAGAAGCTGCAGGTGGGGTTTTCCGCCGGGAGATAGCAGGTTGGAGTACTGCGTGGTTCAGGTCGACTGACTTCCCTCTCGCATGCATCTTCTGCCTCCACAGAGTCGGCTGGACGCGTCCGCAGCTGCAGGTCTCAGGGTTTGCGGGACTCGACTGAAAGGAATCAGATTGGATTGTTGTCTTCCAGCATGCATCTTCTGCTCCCACGGATTCGACTGGCTGTGTTTCAGCAGCTTCAGGTCTTGGGGATTTCGGAAGTTTGGCAGAAGGGGAGCAGGGCATGGTGCACGTTGACTGTCTTCCTGTCGCATGCATCCTGTGGTCCCACGGATTCGACTGGTTGTGTTCCAGCAGCCGCAGATATCTTGGGGATTCAGCTCACCTTCAAGAATTATGATCGGCTGGCGAGAAGTTCTTGTGTCCAGGTTGGCTGACTTTCGATCGCGTGCTGCCGCCTCTGTTTCGACTGATTTGCTCGGTTGACTTCAGGTTTCGACGTGGGACTAGTTCGCGTATGGGTCTCAATCTGCCGCCTTCCCCACCCTCCTCTGCCGCCTCCTCCCACCCGCGTCTGCTGCCTCTGCTGCCTCCGAGAGTCGATCCGGCGTTGCTTCCATATTCTCCCACCTTCTCCAGTTTCATGATCACGGACAATCGAGGCTTTATTCAGTTGATTAACCCTTCAACGGATCTCAGGTTTCTTAACCACCTCCATATCCACCTTCAGATTCTCTAACCACTTACGTTCTGACAAACTGACGTCGTCACTCCTTCCTTCGCGTCCTTTTTCTCCCTCCGCCTTTATCCATCCATCGTGACGGACACCGTCATTAACTCGGTTCTCTCTCAGGAGTCCCTCGCGCGTTCATCCAGATTCCCTAACCGCTGACATGCTGACGTCGTCACTCCTTCCGTCGCGTCCTTCCTTTTTCTCGCTCCGCATTTATCCAGCCATCGTGATCACGGACGGTCAACTAGCTTCCTTCAACGGGCTGTCTCAGGTCTCCAACCATCTTCATACCCACCTCCTCGGTTCTCGTTCAGGAGTCCCTCGTGCGTTCATTCAGATTCCCTAACCACTGATATGCTGACGTCGTCACTCCTTCCTTCGCGTCCTTCCTTTTTCTCCCTCCGCCTTTATTCAGCCATCTTGATCACGGATAGTCGACTAGCTTCCTTTATCATGGGCTGTTGTAGGTCTCTAACCATCTTCATATCCTTCTCATCGGTCCTTTAGGAATCACTTCCCTTGCGCGCTTCCGTAACCACTGCCATACTGACGTCGTCACGGCTTCCTTTGTCCTTTTTCTCCCTCCGCCTCTGTCCAGCCACCATGATAACGGTCAGTCGGCTAGGTTCCCTCAACGGGTTGTCTCAGGCTTCTAACTACCTACTTCCATACGCACCTCCTCGGTCATCATTCAGGAGTCACTTCCCTTGCGCGCTTCCCTAATCACTCCCACACTGTCCTCGTCACCCCGTCCTTCAGGACTCTCTTCCCCGTCCTTCCGCGTCCTGCCAGGTCCGTCGATTTTTCCCTCGTTCAGGAATCATTTCCCTTGCGCGCTGCCCTAACCACTTCTACCTTGACGTCCCCACACCGTCCTTCAGGATAGTCTTCCGCGTCCTGCCAGCCAGGTCCACTGATTACTCCCTTAGCTCGGATTACTTCCTCGTTCAGGTGCATCCTTCAGCGACGTGCTTGCATCGCTTGCAGCCTGGCATCTGACGGTGCGTCTCGGCCTTTTAAGCTAGTTCGTTTCTCAACTTGGTCCCTCCCGTCTCCTGCCCCCTCTAGCCCCTATACTGCCTTCTGCCGTTCATCACTCTCGAGCCTGCAGGATAGCACGCTGAGTAGCCGTCACCTCAGTGACAGTGCTTCTCGCGCCATGGGTTTGACTAGTAAACATTTCTCAGCGTGTCATTGAGTTTCCCGCTCGTACTAACAGGTGCCTTCGCAAGTCTATTGCTTTACAGGAATCTTTTTCCTCTTTAACCTGCAGTCGTCACTGGGTTTATCCCGACCTTCCTCCTCCCCATCCCTTTCGGGGGCTCTGGGGTGTTTCGAGTCTGGATAATTTGTAATGACTTTCGCCAGCAGGGTGACGTCTGAGTTTCTTCAAGCCTTCAGCCACCTCTTTCCTGCCAAGCATTGGAAGTAACGTACTCTGGTGTGCTTTAACACTTGTCCTGGTCCCCACACATTCCAGCCCGTCCCCTGGCTTGCCTTTAGCCATCGCTGTTGACTCGCCTTATCTTCCTCTCGATCCGTCCTCCCTTCCACTCCTTGTCTTCTCACCCCCTTTGGGAGCTCTGGGGGCTCTGGGGTTTTACTTTTCTCCTGTGCTCTATCGCCCGTTTTCTTTGCTGTGGTTTACCTGCCAGCAGTGCAGCAGGGTGGAATTGAGAGTATGGGCATACTTGTGCAGAACTGTCAACCCCGGGTTTTCTGGGCTTGCCAATGGATTGATCGGGTATTTCAGCATGCAAAGCATACAACCGAAGACTCTTTAACGCTCTGTCTCTCCTGCTCTTCACGTTAGTGTCCTCCATTGGCCTTGCTCCTTTGGCCTTGCTCCTTTGGCCGTCCTCCCTTGGCCTTGCACCCTCTGTCTTGCACCCTGTTTGACAGCTTTCTCATTCAAGGCTGTGGGACTGTCCCCTCTTCCTCTCCCGCCCCTCCCACATCCCCTGTGGGGGGCTCTGGGGTCTCAGTGTCTGTCCTTCCGTCTGCCATCCCTAATCCAATCCCTTCGTTATGGTTGCACTGCCAGCAGCACAGCAGCTTGAACTCGTCTGTGCCCCTTGAAAAGTGAAGGCCCGTCCAAGACCCGTCGTGCAGTCGGCTATTTCTGCCCGAGAATTGCTCCCCCTCTCTCGCTCCCCGCCCTCGTCCCTGTCTCCCCTTCCCCCGCCTCAACTTCTCGTCTCTGTCTGACGTTCCGTTGCCCTTCCCACTGCTGCTTTTCTCCAGTTGCTGTTGGGTGTCAGGCTTGCCGCGTACTGTTCCCAGCCCTCCCCTCCCCCATCTCCTGCGGGGGATCTGGGGTTTCAACCTCTGTCATTCCCTCTGTCGCCCCTAGACCGCGCCTTTCGCTGTGGTTGCCCTGCCATCATCACAGCAGCTTGACCTCGAGTGGGTTAGTCGCCGAGGGAGGTCCCATGCAAGACGCCTACCTGAGAACTGCTCCAGGTCATACGCCCTTATTTCCATCTGGCTGGCTGTCCTGTCCTGCACCGATTGCAGCTTGACCTCGCATGTCTCCCCACCCCACCCCCATCCCCTCTGGGGTCCGTTTCTGTCCTTCCCTCTGGGGTCAGTTTCTGTCCTTCCCTCTGTCGCCCCCAGCACGGTCCGTTCGCTGTGGTTGCCCTGCCAGCAGCCGAGCAGCTTGAACTCGAGTGTGTCACTCGCCCAGATTAAGGTTCAATGCCAGACGCGTCTACCGAAGAACTGCTCCAGGTCACACGGTCCTTGCCTTCGACTTATCTTACATATCGACTGCCCTGTCCTCGTTTCTGGCACCGATAGTAGCTCCTCTCCTGTTGCTGCTTTCATCTGCCATGATTGCCGCTTATCTGTTCCCGGCCCTCCCGTTCCCCATCCCCTGCGGGGGCTTCTGGGGTTTCAGCCTTTGTCCTTCCGTTTCCCAGACCCAGTCCGATCCCTTGGTTGCCCTGCCAGAAGCTCAGCAGCTCGAACTCGTTTGTGTGACTCCTGGAAAGTGAAGTTCTGTGTAAGACTTGTTGTGCAGTTGGGTACTTCCGCTTGAGAATTGCCCTTCTCTGTCTTCCTGCCCTGCCCCGATTGCAGCTTGTCTCCAGTTGCTATTAGGTGTCAAGCTTGCCGCGTATCTGTTCCCAGCCCTCCTTTCCCCCATCCCCTCTCCCCCGCAGCTGCCTGTTCCAGCCCCCCTCCCCCCATCCCTGCCGGGGCTCTTGGGTTTCAGCCTCTGTCCTTCCGTTTCCTGGACGCAGTCCGATCCCTTCGCTGTGGTTGCCCTGCCAGCAGCACAGCAGCTCGAACTCGCCTGTGCGTCACGTGGAAAGTGAAGTTCTGTGTAAGACTGGTCAGGCAGAGCAACCTGACAAGTGCATAAGAACTCGCTCCTACCTGACTTTCCCAACCGTCCAACTAACTGCTCTGCCCTCCTGTCCTGCGCCGATTGCAGTTTGACTCTTGCTGCTTCCCTATTCCCTTGCTGTTTCCCTATTCCCTTAGGGGGCTCTGGGGTTTCACTCTCTGCCCTACCCTCTGTCGCCCCTAGTCCGCTCCCTTTGCTGTGCTTGCCCTGCCAGAATCACAGCGGCTTGAACTATTGTGCCACTCGCACAAAGCAAGGTTCAACGCAAGATGACTGCCTGTGAAGTGCTCAAGGTCACACACTCGTTGCCTTCCGGACGTCCCTTGTATCCATCCACCTGCCCCGTCTGCATATCTGGTCTGGCCCCCTCCCTTCCCCCATCCCCTGTGGGGGCTCTGGGGTTTCAACCTTTGCATGTCCCCGATCGGCCCTAGTCCATTCGCTTGCTGTGGTTGCCCTGCCAGCAGCACAGCAGTTTGAAAAGAGTGTGCCACGCGCCTAAGCAAGGTTCAATGCAAGACGCCTGCCAGGTCACACGCTCCCTGCCTGACTTCCCTTGCATCCAACTGATTGGCCTGTCTTGTCCTGCGCCGATTGCAGCTTGTCTCTGCTTGCTGCTTCCAGCTGCCAAGGTTGCCGCGTGTCTGTTCCACCCCACCCCCCCCCTCTTCCCCATCCCCTGCGGGGGCTCTGCGTTTTCAACCTATGTCCCTCCCTCTGTCACCCCTAGTCCGGTCCCTCTGTTATGGTTGCCCTGCCAGCAGCTGGAACTCGACTGTGTCACTCGCGAAGTGGAATGCAGATGGGTAATTCTACCTGGGGACTGCTCCAGGTCGCATGCTCCCTACTTCCCTTTTGACTTATATATATCCCTTACCTTAGCTTCCCTCATATTTTAAAATTTTCTGCACCGACTGCAGCTTTTCTCCGGTACTGCTTACGTCCCTGGCTTTGTAGCTCTCCCCCATCCCCGTAGGGGTCACTCTCCTATCCCATCCCCTCAGGGGGCTCTGGGAATCCGGTTGCCCTCCTTCCCCATGTTCGGTTGGCTGTGCTTGCCCTGCCAGCAGCACAGCAAGTTGTATGAGAGATAGCATCTGGAGTGAGCCAGCGCCATGAGCAGGTGCAGCCTAAGACCCACCAAGCCGTCGGGTACTCCTTTTCTGCTGGGTTTCCTCGTTCTGTCGGCTCCCATGCTCTCCTGCCCTGCACTGGTTACAGCTGCTCTTACTCTTGCTGCTTGTAGGTGCCAGGCTTGCCTTCTCTCCCCGCCCCTCCCCCATCCCCTTCGGGGGCTCTGGGGTTTTCGTTACCCCTCCTCTGTTCGGGTTTGCTGTGGCAGCAGCACAGCAGGTTGCACAGCACGTTGCACAGCAGGGACACTAGGCGGAACTTGAACGAGCCAGCGCCATGAGCAGGTGCAATAGCGCAAGCCGCACTTGGCAGCTGGATACTCCTGTTATGTTGGGTTACAGCTTCTCTTACTACTACCCGCATGGAAGATGTGAGCCAGCGCCATGGGCAGGTGCAGCAGCGCAAGCCCCACCTAGGAGCTGGATGGATTCTCCTGTTGTGTTGGGTTTTCCTTCTTCCGTGCTTGCCTCCTGCCCTGCACCGGTTACAGCTTCTCTTATGCTCGCTCCTCCAGGTGTCAGGCTTGCCTCTCTCCCCACCCCCCCGCCCCTTCTCCATCCCCTTAGGGGGCTCTGGGGTTCCGGTTACCCTTCTCTGTTCGCCCTCCTTCCCTCGGGATTTGGCTGTGATTGTCCTGCCAGCAGCACGTCAGGTTGCACCAGGAGTGTGCGAGAGCTGTGAGCAGGCAGGCGAGACCACCGAGCAGCTGGGCACTGGTACTCTAGCTGTGTTGGATCTTCCTTCTTCCTGCTCTGGGTACGGCTCCTTACCGTTGCTGCGTGGTAGGTGTGAGGCTTGCCCCGTGTCTCTTCCCGTTCCTGCCCCGCCCCCATCCCTTCCAGGGACTGTGGGGTTGCAGTCACCTGTTTTCCCCGTGTTGTTTTGGCTGTGGTTGCCCTGCCAGTGGCACAGCAGATCAGTCCAGGGATATTCATTTTTGGAGTAAGCCATCGCCATGAGCAGGTGCAGCTCAAGGCCCATCAAACAGTTGGGCATTCCTGTTGTGCTGGGTTTCCCTTTGGTTCTGCTCTGGTTATACGTTGTCTGACCATTAGCTGCGAAGATAGTGTGAGGCTTGCCTCCTTTCTATTCGCGGCTTTCCTTGTATCCCTGCCCGCCCCTCTCCCATCCCCGTCGGGGGCTCTGGGGTTCTGGTTATCTTCCCTTCCTTTGTGCGGTTGCCTGTGGTTGCCCTGCCAACAGCACAGTAGGCAGGGTTTATAGTGTTACTATTTGGAGTGAGCCTGCGCCGAAAGCGGGTCCAGCCCAAGACCTACCAAGCAGCTGGGTATCTTTGTTGCACTATCAAGACCTCTAGTCAGAAAGATTCTTCCCTCGACGTCTCTGTTCTCCCACCTGTTTGCAGCTGCCCTTTCTGATTGCTTGGGTCTCGTCTATTTTTTCCCTCTTCCCTCCTCCCCTCCCCCCATCCCCTTGGTGGGCTCTGGGGTTTCCGATCACTTATTCCGCAGCCTCCTCTAGTCTGTTTGCTCAGCTGAGGTTGCCCTGCCAGCAGCACAGCATCTTGCACTCGGTACGCATGTGCTCTAGGAAGCGCCAGTCCCAGACTTCCCAAGCAGTCGGGTACTCAATGCTTGCGCACTCAAGAACGACTGTGCTAGTTTAAGGAAGGCCCACCCAAGACTTTCCAAGCAGTCGGGTACTCAATGCTCGTGCAGTTGAAGGCGTCTGTGGCTAGTTCAAAGCTTCTCAACAACCTTCTTTCCTGCCTTTACCTGCGTTGTCCATGCGTCCTGCATCTCCTACCAGCTGCCATTCCGTTGCTGCCTGCAGGTGTCAGGCCAGCCTCCTCCCCCCCTGCCCATCCCCTTGGGGGGGGCTGGGGTCTCACTTCATTTTCTTTCCTATGTATCCTTCAGTGTGGGGTTGCCTTGCCAGCAGCACAGCAGTTTCCTGAGTTGCTCATTGAAACAAGAATGTTTTGAACTCCATAAGCAGTTGGGTATTCGAAATCCACCCTGCTTGTGCAGTCACCGACTTCTTTAGCAGCCTCAACATCCACCTGAGATTGCCTTGTCCGCTGGTCCTCCTACTTCCAGCTGCCCTTTCGTTGCTGCTTCGGTTTGGTGCCAGGCCTGGCGTCTCCGTCTTTTCTCACCCCACCCCCCCCTTCCCATCCCCTTGGGAGGGCTCTGGGGTTTCATTGCCCTCCTTCCTCTGTCCCCCTCTCTAGCCTGTTCTCTCAGCTGTGGTTGCCCTGCCAGCACCACAGCAGCTTGCACTTCTTTGTACCCACATGCTCTAGGAAGCCTCAGTCCAAGACTTCCCAGCAGTCGGGTATTCAAAGCTGGTGCAGTCAAGAACGGATGGCTGGTGCAAAGCCTCTCAGCGACCTTCTTTTCTGCTCTTACCTACATGGCCCTCGCGTCCTGCACCTCCTACCAGCTGCCCTTCCGTTGCTGCTTAGGTGCCAGGCATGCCGCTCTGTGCCCCCGCCCCTCCTCCCGTTAGGGGGCTCTGAGGTTTGAACGCTCTCTGTGTCTCCTCTACTCTGCTTGCATAGCCGTGATTGCCCTGCCTGCCAGCAGCAAAGCAGCAGTTGGGGTCTTGCGTGACTCTCTGGATGCAACACAACTAGGCCAAGGGGGTCTAAGCAGGTTTGGGGTCTTGTGCGTCCCTCTGGATGTAACGTCCCTCTGGGGTCTTTCAATGGATGGTTAACGGCCTTCGTTCTAATCCCCCTCTGTCCTTGGCTTGCCTTGTTCGCGCATCCTGCACTACCTCCCATTCCGTCGCTGCCTGTAGGGGCCAAACCTGCCTCTTCCCTCGTCCCCCCTCCCTTTCCCCCATCCCCTAAGGGGGGCTCTGGGGTGTTAATATTTTCGTTCCGCTCTCCCCCTAGTCTGTCTGCTTGGCCGTGGTTCCCCTGCCAACAGCTCAGCAGCATGAGCTAGTGTGTCACCCGCCTACTCAAGTCCAAGACTGGCTAAGGAGTCAAGCAGTGGAAGCTTCTGGCCTCGACTGCCTTGTCCGTCTCACCCTGCGCCTGCACTGCACTCTGCTTCCAGCTGCCCTTTCGTTGCTGCTCTGGTTTGGTGTGATTCCTCCCTCTTCCCCTGCCCCTGCCCCATCCCCTTAGGGCTCTGGGGATTCAGATCTCCCCTTCCTGTGTCCTTCTCTCTTGTCTGTTAGCTTAGCTGGGGTTGCCCTGCCAACAGCCCAACAGCTTGAATTCGAGTGTGTCGTATACACTAGGATTTCCCAGCCGAAGACAATCAAGCAGACGGGTTTTCAATGCGTCCAGTAGGTTTCCGGCTAGTTCAAGGCTTCCCAGCGTCCGTCTTTCCTGCCATTGCCTGCATTGTCCACGTGTCCTGCATTGTCCACGTGTTCTGCATGTTCGTCCTGCTTCCAGGTGCCAGGCCTGCGTCTTCCCTCGTCTCCCTCCCCCCTTCCTCCGTCCCCTTAAGGGGGTTTGGGGTGTCAGATCTATCCTTCCTGTGTCCTCCTCTCTAGTCTGTTTGCTTGGCCGTGGTTGCCCTGCCAGCAGCACAGCAGCTTGCTTCGTCACATGCACAAGGATTCCCCGGCCCAAGACACCTTCCAAGCAGTCGGGTACTCAATGCTCGTGCAGTGAAACCTCTTTGGCACCTTCTAAGCCTTGCAAAACCCGTCTCTCCCATCCTGCACCTGCACTTTATCCCAGCAGCATTTCTGCTGCGGCTCCCTAAACTCCTGCACCTGCATGCACCTACTTCCAGCAGCACTCCTGTTGCTGCTCTGGTTTCTGTGTCAGCACAGTTTTGAGACGTCTCAGAACGGATGTACTTCTGCACTTGCACCTACTTCCTGCAGTCCTTCCTGCACGTTGCTGCTTTGGTCGGCTGCCAGGTCGGTCTCATTCCTCTCTGCCGCCCCCCTCCCCCGTCCCCGGAGTGGGCTCTGGGGTTTTCAATGTCGCCTTCCTGTGTCTCCTCGAGTTTGTATGCTCAGCCATAGTTGTTGCCCTGCCTGCAGCACAGCAGCCGAAAACTCTGGGTTGCCCAAGATTGTCCAAGCAATCTGGTACTGTGTGTGGTGGTGCTTTAAGATGTCGTGGGTTGTCCGCCTTTCCAGATAGTTGCATGCAGAGCATTCTTTGCTGGTGCATGTGTGGTTCTCGCCTTGGTCGTTGTTGCTGATGTGATGTGTCAAGGCAGGGGAAGTGCGAGCACAGCTCCCAACCGCATCAGATCTATGTTGGTCGGTCGGCCCTGTCTTTCCAGGTAGCACTCCAGAGCTTTCTTTGCTGGCGCATTTTTGGCTCGTGCCTCGGTCGTGGTTGTTGATGTGACATGTCAAGGCACAGGACAGCTGCAAGAAGAATCCTGCTTGGGGAAAATGTAAGATGAGGATCTGCCTGCCTGTCCAGGTAGCAGAGAGTGTGCAGGGCATTCCTTGCTGGTGCATTCGTCCTTGCCTTGGGGGCTCTTGCCTTGGTGATTGCTGGTGATGTATCATGGCAGGGCAGCTGCTAGCAGAGTCAGCTAAAGGCATGGGGAAAATTTGGGCCGACCATCTTTCCAGGTACCAATGTGTTCGTTGCTAGTGCACTCTGGCCCGTGCCTTGATTAGTGTTGTTGATGTAACATGTCAAGGCTCAAGACAGCTGCAAGAAGAATCCTCAAGCGCATGGGGAAATTTTTGGGATGAGGATCTGCCTGCCCTCTCCAGGTAGCAGTGAGTGCGTCAGGGCATTCCTTGTCGGTGCACTCCTGGCTCTTGCTTCGGTCTTGTTTCGCTTGCAGGTGGAGTGATGTGCCATGGCAGCACAACTGCGTCCAGAGTTAGCCAAAAGGCAGGGGAAGAAAGCGGGATGACCATTTCCCCCAGGTATCAGTGCAGAACGCATGCTTTGCCGGTGGATTCGTGGCCCTTTTCTTGGTGCTTGCTATTGGAGTGATGTGTCGTGACAGGTCAGCTCGAGCAGCGTTGGCCAAGGCATGGGAAGAAAGGGGGACGCCAATCCCCCCAGGTATTGGTGCAGAGAGCATTCTTTGCTGCTGCATTTGTGGCCCTTGCTCTCTTCCTCGTTGTCGCTGTGATGTGTCGAGGCAGGAGGGCTGCGAGCAGAGCCCCCAAGCGCATGGGAAGAATATGTGCAGGTAGCAGTTCAGAGGAGACGTGGCTGGTGCATTTGTGTGGCTCTTGTCACGGTGCTTGTTGTTGTTGGTGTGATGTGTTGAGGCAGGAAGGCTGTGAACAGAGCTTCCAACTGCATGGAGAGACCGAGGGGTGACTATCTGCCCAGGTAGCAGTGCAGAGCAGTCTTTGCTGGTGCATTTGTGTGGCTCTTGCCTCGGTGCTTTCTGTTGGTGTGATGTGTCGAGGCAGGAAGGCTGTGAACAGATCTTCACCAACTGCATGGAGAGTGTGATTCGTGACGATCCGCTCAGGTAGCAGTCCAGAGGAGTCTTTGCTGGTGCATTTGTATGGCTCTTGCCTCGGTGCTTGTTGGTGGTGTGATCTGAGGCAGGAAGGTTGTGCACGTAGCTGCCAGGCGGATGGAGAGAATGTGGCTCGAGACCATATGCGCAGGTAGTACTCCAGAGCATACTCTGCTGGTGCATTTGTGTGGCTCGTCTTGGTGCTTGTTGTCGTTGTTGTGATCCGTGGAGGCAGGAAGGCTGTGAACAGAGCTCATGGGAAGACTGGGATGACTATCTGCCCAGGTAGCAATCCAGAGCACTCTTTGCTGGTGCATTTGTGGGGCTGTTTCGGTGCGTTTTGTTGGTGTGATGTGTCGAGCCAGGACACGTTCGAGCCGGTCTTTCTTAAGTGCATGGGAAGGCACAACACACCGCAATAACACAGGAACTACCATCTGCCCAGGTGCCCATGTGGCATATAGAATGGATGTATTCCTCTTCATCATGCCGGATGTGGAAGACGTGCCTCTCTTACCATCTGCCCAGGTGCCTGTTCAGCTGTTCAAAGCATTTTTTGCTGGTGCAGTTGTGGCTCTTGCCATTCTGCTTCTTGTGTGGTGTGTGTGTCAAGGAAAGCTGGAGGGCATTGGCCAATGTGGAAGTGTTAAGTGTATTTACTCCTTTCATCACCCGCCCTTGTTTCAGTGCCCCGCACCACCATTCATCCAGGTAGCTCTTCGGAGCAATTGCTGGTGGAGTCTTGGCTCTTGCCTCTGTTTCTTGGCTCTTGCCTCTGTTTCTTGGCTCTTGCCTCTGTTTTCTGGTTCCTGTTTGCTGTCTGTGGTGTGATGTGCGCTAAGAAAAAAGCTGGAACACAGTGCCAAGGTGGAGGTGCAAGTATGACTTTTTTCTCACCATCTGCCCTTCTCAGTTGCCGACACGGTAGTGCATCCAGGTAGTTGTTTCACAGTTTCTTGCGGGTGCAGTTTTCTCTGTTGCCTGAATGTATTTTGTGGCGGTGCCTTGGTGCGATGTGTGTCAAGCTCAGCTGGAGGCGAAGGGTGTAAGTGGGCGTGCAAGTAGGTCTGTTCGTCTCACCATCAAGTGCCCTTCTCGATTGCCTGTTCCACCACGGGTCAGGTACAGCTGTTAGAAGAGGACTCTTCGGCTGCAGTTTTTTCCTGTGCCTCTGGTTCTTGGCTCTTGCCCCCTGTGTTTTCTTGTGCGTCTCTGCTGGTGTGATGTGTCCAAGGAAAGCTGGAAGAGAGACAATGGATCTGTTCCTCTCACCATGTGCATGCCACTGTCAAGTGCCCCTGTCAAGTGCCCCTGTCAAGTGGTATTACCATCCGTTCAGGTACAGCTGTCAAGCACGCTTTGCTGCTGCAGTTTTTGCTCTTGCCTCTGTTTCTTGGCTCTTTCTTCCCGTGTTGCTTGTGCGCCTCTGCTGGTGTAATGTGACGAAGAAAATCTGGAAGACAGTGAGCCAAGTGAAGTTGCAAGTTTATCTGTTTCCTCACCATCTCCCTTTTCGGTGGCCATCAGGTATCTCTGCAGAGCAGCCAGCTAGTCGTTTCTTGGCCCATGCCTTTTGTGGGTCTTGGGTCTGGCCGTTCTGTGTTCTCTCTGTGTTTCTATTGCCGTGTTGGTGTGATGTGAGAAGCGCTGGGAGATGGAGAGTGAAGGGGGAGGTACTCATTCTTTTTGGTCTTTGTGTTGTGTTTCTTGGTCCAGGCTTCTCTGTGTTCTCTGTGTGTCTCAAGCTGTGCTGTGTTGGTGTGATGTGTGAAGAGCAGCTGGAAGACAGACCGAAGGGGAGGTGCACATTATTCTTTGGTTTTTGTGTCTCTTTCTTAGGTCTTGCTTTTCAGTGTTCTGCTGTGCGTTTCTCTGCCTGTTCTGTTCCTGTGTTGGTGTGATGTCATTCTGCCTTCTGTGCTTCCATCCCTCTCGTCCTGTTTCCAGCTTTTCTCCCTTCTCTCTTCCCCTCCCCTCTGATTCGTTGCTTTCCCTTCTCCCTTGCACCCATTACATACAGCATTGCACCTTATTGATGCTTACAAGCAGTATACATATTCATACACCCCAGTACATGCATGCATTTATACACCTGAATACATGCATACGTTTATCCACCTCATACATGCATATATTCATACACCTCATGCATGTGTGCATCCATACCCATGCACAGCTCCATACACCGTATGCATGTGTGCATTCACACCGCATGTCCCACATTGCATCCACTGGACGATGATGAGGCAACTGCCCTTGGATTGTGGTTCATGTGCCCAATCACCCACTTCATCAGTGGGTGTTTGCCTTAAACTCCCTCTTTGAGGGATGTATGGCAATCCACACGTTGACAGCTTCTTTGGAAGGGGGTTTACCTCCTATCCTGGCAGGCTGATGTGGCATCCAAGGCAGCAACCTGAGTCCATTACAACTTGTTACCTTTGCTGCCGGTGCCCTCTCTGTGAGGGAAGGCAGGGCAGCCACAATGTATAGCTGCTTTGGAAGGAGGTGTGCCTCCTATCCGAGCATGCTGATGTGGCATCCAAGGCAGGGACTTGAGTCCATTACAACTCGTGACGTGCGCATGTCCGTTATTGCATCCACTGGACAATGATGAGGCAACTGCTCTTGGATTGTGGCACATGTGCCCAATAGCCTGCTTCATTAGAGGCTTGCGATAAACACCCTCTTCTGGGTGAGGCATGGCAGGCCACACTGTTGACAACCCGCTTTGGAAGGGGGTGTGCCTCCTATCCTAGCATGCTGATGTGGCATCCAAGGCAGGGAGCTGAGTTCATTACAACTCGTTACTGTAGTTGACAATGCCCTCTGTATGGGGATGTATGGCAATCCACACTGTTGAGACCTGCTGAGGAGGGAGGTTTTGTCTCCTAACCTGGCAAGCTGATGTGGCATTAGAGAGAGGCAGTTGTGTCCATTACAAGTTGTTACAATTGTTGCGAGCGTCTGTGATGTGACGCATGGCAGCTGTCACTGTTGACAGCTGCTTTGAAAGGGGGCTTGCCTCCTGCCATGTCACCCTGATGTGGCAACTAAGGCAGGAACCTGTGGCAGTTACAAACTGGTTTTAGCTCTTCGAAGGATTTACTGCTGCAGTTTTTGCACTTGCATCTGTTGCTTGGTTGATACTCCCTGTGTTTTTCACGTGTTTCTAGTGGAGTCATTTGAAAAGAAAGGTGGAAGAAAGTGGCCACAATGGGGGAAGGTGTGAGTATGTTTCTCTCTCATCTTTTACCCTTCTCAGTTGCACGTACCACCACATCCAGGTAATTGGTGAAGCATATGCGTGTGTTATGTCCTCTGTACAGCTTATGCTGCTGTGGTTGTGTGATGGTTTGCATGTGAAGGAAAGGTGGGTGATTGTGACCAGGGTGGAGGTGCAAGTATGTCTGTTCCTCTCACCTTTCATCCTTCCCAGTTGCTCAGGTGCGCAGCAGTATTGCGTCGAGCTTTGGCGCTTACTTCTATGTTCGTGGTTGTCACTTGATGTTTCTTGCGGGTCATGTGCTCCCGTGGTCTTGTGGTCTTGTGGTCTTGTGGTCCTGTGGTCCTGTGGTTCTGTGGGCCTGTGGGCCTGTGGTCCTGTGGGCCTGTGGTCCTGTGGTCCTGTGGTCCTGTGGGCCTGTGGTCCTGTGGTCCTGTGATCATGTGGTCCTGTGGGCCTGTGTTCCTGTGGTCCTGTGGGCCTGTGGTTTCGTGAGCCTGTGGTCTCGTGGGCCTGAGGTCCTGTGGGCCTGTGGGCCTGTGGTCCTGTGGTCTTGTGGTCCTGTGGTCCTGTGGTCCTGTGGTCCTGTGATCCTGTGATCCTGTGGGCCTGTGGTCCTGTGGGCCTGTGGTCCTGTGGGCCTGAGGTCCTGTGGGCCTGTGGTTGTGTGGTCCTGTGGTCCTGTGGGCCTGTGGTCTTCTGGTCCTGTGGTCCTCTGGACCTCTGGTCCTCTGGACCTCAGGTCCTCTGGTCCTCTGGACCTCTGGTCCTGTGTTCCTGTGGTCCTGTGAACTGTGACGTTTGCCAAGACAGCTGGAGTGGTAAAGCACATTGGGAAAGCAAGTTTCACCACCTGCCCTTGGGGCAGTGCCTAGTAAGTGTGTAGGAGGTTTCTTGCTTCTATTGGGATCCTAGGGAGTGACGTGAGGATGGCGCCCCAACTGTAGGCGCTTGCGTCCACGTGCATGGTGCTGTCGAACTGGTGACTGAGATATAATGGGGAGCCGTTAAATTTGTCGAATGACAAAACCACGTGCTTCAAGGTCACGAAGGACTGTCGTACGAGTCGCGCACGCTTGCTGGTGGAAATCGCAGAGAAATAATAGGTTGTCGACATACAGGACCACTCGAACGCTGCTTGCCCGCCATCGCTAGACAAGTTGTTTGATTAGTAGATGACTTCGAATTGGAAGCCCAAAAATTCCAGCAAGAGGGATGAATCTCGATGTGATGGTATCCAGATTTTAGGTCGATGGTGAATATCCAGTTATCTCGGCGGATGAGCTCGGCTACACGATTCAGACCTTCGTACTTGAACTTAGGGGCTTCAAGGTGAGTGTTCACTTTCCGCAGGTCAAGGATAAGGTGGCATTTTTCACGCTGCTCCACGACGTTCAGCGGGCTGACACATGTTAGTGTGTCCCTCTTCTCGATCGCTGCGGCAGCGCCAGTGACTATGAGATTGCGAATTGTGTCGCGAGTAAAGTCGAGGTGCGTGTAGACTCCGGCATGATTGTTGTCCTCGAAGGGTGTGGGGGCTGCATTCTTCCAGCGCAGCCAATACCCTTTCGCGATGACGGAGAGGGTAAAGCTACTGTCGCACCAAGAGCACCACCAGTGCAAGGCATGCCGCAATCGACTGCGCATAATGGTAACGTCATTGTCAGTAATTGCGAGCTCGTAGGGATTGCGTACCTCTTGTGGCCACCCACTCGGGATCTCTGCCATATAAGAGGTTATAAACACGGGGTGGTAGATGGGGGTGGGATACTGTGCTCGTGAACGGGTGCACGATGCGGGGCAGTGTAAACGAGGCATGACATGCTCGGATCGCACTGCCACTGCCGTGCTAGGTGCTTGCAAGGTGCAAGGGGTCATCGTCTCTCTATCTCCCTTCTCTTTCTCTGTTGCTCTCTCTCTCTATCTCTTTGTCTCTCTCTCTCTCTCTTTCTCTCTCTCTCTCTCTCTCTCTTTCTCTCTCTCTCTCTCTCTCTCAATTTCTCTCTCTCTCTCTCTTTCTCTCTCTCTCTCTCTCTCTCTCTCTCTCTCTCTCTCTCTCTCTCTCTCTCTCTCTCTCTCTCTCTCTCTCTCTCTCTCTCTCTCTCTCTCTCTCTCTCTCTCTCTCTCTCTCTCTCTCTCTCTCTCTCTCTCTCTCTCACTCTCTCTCTCTCTCTCTCTCACTCTCACTCTCTTTCCTTGGCGTGCGAGGCACCACATGCTATGTCCGTACGTGACGTTTATTAAGCGTGTGCGTGCTTATCGGTGGTTGACTTCTTCCTCATTTTCTTTTCTTCTGCTCTCCTTGTTTGGGCCACTCCTTATTCAAGCTTTAGCGCCCGGACTCTGTCCTTGTCTCTGATTAATCTCCAAGTGTGTGCGTGCACGCCATTTGTAGGGCATCGGGCGTGCCTCCATGCTTAGCTCTCGAGGCGTGTTGCATGGCCGGCAAATAAAAAGTGAGGAGTCATGGGTGTCAAACATCTGTATTTGTTTTGTTTGTATAGACTGTATAGGGTTACCTCTTAGAGGGTACAACACTTAGGTATATTTGTGTGTACTCTCACTTTACCATTATTCAATTCTAATTCTGATATGGTATCACGCGTAAGTAGGATCCTCCCCACCTCCCGCTTCCGCTCATGCCCCCTAGCGCCCCTCCTGGGCCCCGTCGCGCTCCTCCCAGGCCCCGTAGCGCCCCGTCGCGCCCCTCCTGGGCCCCGTAGCGCCCCTCCTGGGCCTCGTCGCGCCCCTCCTGGGCTTCGTAGCGCCCCTCCTGGGCCCCGTTGCGCCCCTCCTGGGCCGCGTTGCACCCTGCCCGACCCCGTCGCAGCCGCCCGGCTCCGTCGCGCCCGCCCGGCGCCGTCGCACCCGCCCGGCCCCGTCGCGCCCGCCCGGCGCCGTCGCACCCGCCCGGCCCCGTCGCGCCCGCCCGGCCCCGTCGCAGCCGCCTGGCCCCGTCGCGCCCGCCCGGCCCCGTCGCAGCCGCCTGGCCCCGTCGCCCTTGCCTGGCCCCGTCGCAGCCGCCCGGCCCCGTCGCACCCGCCCGGCCCCGTCGCACCCTGCCCGGCCCCGTCGCAGCCGCCCAGCCCCGTCGCACCCGCCCGGCCGCTGTCCCGCTCGCCCGGCCCCGTCGCGCCCGCTCGGCCCCGGCGCCCCGTCCCGGCCCTGTCGCACCAGCCCGGCCCCGTCGCGCCCGCCCGGCCCCGTCGGGCCAGCCCCGGCCCCGTCCTCCTTACTGGTACGGTTCCCCCCCACCCCGCCCTGCTCCGTGCTGCCCCGCACTACACTGTACTGCCTGGCACAGCACTACACCGCACTACACCGCACTGCACCGCACTGCACCGCATTGCACCACACTGTACCGCACTGCACCGCACTGCACCGCACTGCATCGCACTGTACCGCACTGCACCGCACTGCACCGTACTGCACCGCACTGTACCGCACTGCACCGCACTGCACCGCACTGCACCGCACTGCATCGCACTGCACTGCCCTGCACCGCACTGGACTGTTCCTGATGGCGGCGGAGCTTCGCTTCGACGCTGAAGGTCAGCCCCTAGAGTTCGAGGCGTGGCTTGCCGACCTCCGCCGCCAACTCACTGGCCAGCGGCAGGATGGTGAACCGCTTTCCGCACACCTTGACGGTACGCTCCCCTGCCCAGACCCCCCTGCTATTCTGCCCGCTGACCCCACACCCACTGAGCGTGAGTCTACTGCTGCCACTGCCCGTGCGCGCTCTGTCTGGCTTTCTCGCGATGCTGTTGCCCAGCTTGCCATTAGCAACGCCCTTCCCCCATCCGAGCGTCCTCGCTTTAGGTCCCTCACTACTGCTCAGGCATACTTAGATGCTGTGATCAAGCGCTATTCCACCCCTCCGGCTGCCTCGGTGGGTCGCCTGATCCTTCCGATGCTCTTTCCTGACCTTGCATCTTTCCCTACTGTCTCTGACCTCGCTGCCCACCTGCGCTCGATAGATGAGACCTGGCGCGCTGCCTGCACTGACGCCCAGCTTAGAGCCCACCAGCCGCCCATTACCTCTACCCTCTACCTGCTTGCCACCCGCCTCCCTGACCGCCTTGCTGTCGCACGCGACCGCTTTCTTAGCGTTCACCCCGCAGACCTCACCCTCACTGACTTTGTAGACACCCTGACTGTGATAGAGACCCGTCACCGCTCCATCGCCCAGGCGAGCGGTGTCGTGCCGGTCCCTATCTTTCAGGGTTGTGCCCCCGCCCAGTGTACCTTCTCCGACGGCTCTGCCGCAGTGGCTGAGACTGCTGCTGCAGCGCAGGTCCGTTCGGGGAAGGGCCGCCGCCCCAAGGCTGGGCGCGGCGGAGGAGGCGGCGGGGGTGCGGGCGGGGGTAGTGGTGGGGTCGGGTCGCCTGGTGCTGGAGTGGACGAGGGGGCCCTGCCCAGTTCAGCTGAGTCGCCGCCCCTGCAGGTGCAGCAGCCGCAGCAGCCGCCGCAGTCGCAGCCTTCGCAGCAGCCGCAGCAGCCGTCGCAGACGTGGCAGACGAGTGTCCTCCCGCCAGGGTGGCCCGGCGCTGACGGTGGCCGGGCGCGTGGTGGTGTGCCGCGTGGTGGCTCTGGCGGCGGGCGTTGTCAGTTCCAGATCCAGACCGGTCCTCGCCGCGGCTTCGTTTGCGGTAAGATCGGTCACTCCACTCCCCGCTGTTTTCGTCGCCTGGACGACCTCTTTCGTCAGCGCTTCGGCCCGTCGCCAGACCTCCCGGACTGGCACAATTTGCTTAGTCGCCAGATTCAGATTTTTGATATGGACATGGATGCCATTGTTTCCGCTCTGCATGTGATGTATGCTGATGACTCTAGTGTGCTTCCCGCTTATTACTCACTGTTGCCTAGTGTAGGTGTGCCTAGCTTAGCCTCCCCTGCTGCGTCAGGCGTAGGATCCCCTGCTTTGTGTAGTCTTGGTGCTTCCGCCGTCGTTCCGTCGCCAGACCCATCGGCTTCGCTTTCCTTCACCTTGGACTCTGGCGCCTCTCGGTGTTTCTTCCGCGACTCCACCACCCTGACGCCGCTTCCTGTTCCTGCTGCCGTTTCTCTTGCTGACCCCTCAGGCGGTCCGGTAGTCGCCCGCAGTTCCACCACCCTTCCCTGTCCGGCGGTTCCTTCGGGTTCTCTTACAGGTTTGCATATCCCCTCGTTCTCCAGGAACCTAGTTGGTGTCGGCTGCCTCCAGGACCTTGGCGTCACCACTACGTTCCCTGGCCACGAGCGGTATGCTGTATGTACCGAGGCCGCCACTGGTGCCCCCCTGTCCACGTTCCCCCGGGACCCGGTGTCCGGCCTGTTCACTCTGGACACTGTGACCCCCCCGGCTGGAGCGCCCCCTCAGGTGGCTGCGTCTACCCAGATTGCTGCTGCCTGCTCCAGTCGCTCCCTCACTCACCCGACCCTCCTGTGGCACCACCGCCTAGGTCACCCTGCGCCCCCGCGTCTGCGTCACATGTCCCAGCACGGTCTCGTCCTTGGTCTCCCAGGTTCGCTCCCCACGTTTCCCTCCTCTCCCGCCCCACCTTGCACGCCTTGTGTCGAGGGTCGGCTTCACCGTGCCCCTCACTCCTCCTCGTTTCCCCCTACCGCCGCGCCGCTGCAGACCCTGCACCTGGACGTCTGGGGCCCCGCCCCCGTCCCTAGGCCGCGTCGAGAGCGCTACTTCCTTGTGCTTGTCGACGACTTCACTCGTTACACCACAGTCTTTCCCCTGGAGCGCAAGGCCGACGTGCCTGGCGCTCTCATCCCCTGGCTTGTCTCTGCGCGTGTCCACCGCGGTCTCCCTGTCTTGCGTCTTCACTCAGACCGTGGTGGCGAGTTTGCCTCCGGTGTCCTTGGTCGCTTTTGTCGTGCGGAGGGCATCACCCAGACGTTCACCCTACCGGAATCCCCACAGCAGAATGGGGTCGCTCAGCGACGCATCGGTTTGGTCATGGAGGTCGCTCGCACCTCCATGATCCATGCCGGTGCACCCCATTTTCTGCGGCCGTTCGCTGTGCGCTACGCGTCTCACCAGCTTAACCTGTGGCCGCACCCTCAGCAGCCGCAGATTTCGCCGACCCGTCTTTGGACTGGGTCTCCTGGTGACGCGTCTGCGTTCCACATCTGGGGCTGCCTTGCTCACGTCCGTGCCTCCGGCACGGACAAGCTCACTGCCCGCACCCTTCCCTGCGTCTTCCTCGGTTTTCCCCTTGACGCGTCCGGCTGGCACTTTTACCACCCGCTGTCTCACCGCTTCTTTCACTCTCGTGACGTCACCTTTGACGAGTCCGTCTCCTACTACCGCCGCTTTCCCCACCGTGGTCCCCCGGTTACCCCCCCCCTGTTCCTCGTCACCCCTTCCCAGGTAGTCCCTGCCCCTCCTCCTCCTCCTCCCCGTCCCGCCCCTTCTGGTGTGTCCCACGTCACCCCCCTTCCGTCCGTGGACCCGGTTGAGGAGTCTTCTGACTCTGGTGGCCCTCCTGTGCAGTCCTCGCCGGCCGCCCCTCCCCAGGTGTCCCCTCCCCAGTCCCCTCCTCCACCGCCACTACCGCTGCTGCAGCCGTCGTCGTCGCCGCCGCCGCCGCCGCCGCCGCCGCCGCCGCCGCCGTCGCCTCCGCCGCCGTCGCCGCCGCCGTCGCAGCCCCCGTTCGCTGACTCTGGGGGTGCTCGTCCCGGTCGCCCTGGGGGTGGTCCCTCTGGGGGTGCTGGTGTGGAGAGTGCCGGTGGTAGCCGAGGAGCAGCTTGCGGTCCAGGTGTCGCCGTTGTGCCGCCGCAGCAGCGGTCCCCGCCGGTGTCCGCCCTTCGCCTGCTCGGCCTTCCGTCACCCGACCCTGCGTCTGTTCCTCCCCGGCCGTCTCCTCCTCTTCCTGTCTACGGCCCTGTTTTTCCTCCGCCGGACTCGTCCCCGGCTCGTCTCCCCCCTCGTTCCCCTCCTGTGTCCCCTCCCCTGTCTCCTGACCCGACTCCTCCGTCGCACGTCTGGTCTCACCGCCCCTCCCGTGCTCGTCCTGCCTCGCCTGTCTTGCGCTCCCACCCTATGTTGCTTCGTTCCCACGCGTCTCGTCCTCCCCTTCTCCCGTCGCCTCCTCCGTCCTCCCTTGTTGTTGCGCCCCCCCCGCTGTCCGACTACCTTCGTGCCGCTCGTCCTCTCGTTCCTCGGGTCCTTGCCTCTCTCGTTACCGACCCGTCTGTTCCGGTCTCGTGCCTTGACGCTCTTGTCGCTGCTGTCGCTGACTTCGCCTCTACCCGCCGCCTTGACTACGCCACCGCTTTGGTCTCTGACCCTGCTTGTCCTCCGTCTGTCGGGGGTGCTCCTGCCCTTGGCAGTGACGTCCTGGAGGACCGCCAGTTCGAGCTTGCTTTCCTCTCCGAGGCTGCTCCCCATCTTTGTTCCATGCTGCTAGTCCCTGAGGGTGACCCAGACGCTTTCGACATCCCGACCCCTCGCACTTACGCTGAGGCGACTTCGTGACCCTGGGCCTCGCAGTGGATAGCTGCCATGGAGCAGGAGATGGCATCTTGGAGATCCACCGGCACCTTCGTCGACGCAGTTCCCCCGCCTGGGGTGAACGTAGTCGATGGCCGCT